GAATGAGACAAGTGTTATCCCCATGTTATAAGACTAGGCTGGGTTAAGGAATTAACCCAAAGTCTAGCTTTGTAATATACTTGTACATGATGTCTTAGGACTGTAAACTAGAGGAAGAACTAAAGCCTACTGGCAAAAACAAAACCTTTCAAAAGGAGGAAAGAAACACAGTAAGTACAGTGGAAGAAAACCAGGGTGTCTATCACATGGCTCACTACAACATAACTCTTTTAGAAAATATGAAAGGGGGAAAGAGTATTTTCACACACAAAAAACTAAAACAAACTCTCAAACTGAGAGAATAGGTCAGATCAGAGATGACTCTGTACCTCCAGTGCCAGCTCTCTGGCTATCATACATTGGCACGATAGTTAGAATTCTAAATTGCAACTCTACCTTGCTACTCCTTTCCTCATAATCATTCAATTACTTCCTATCACTAATGAACTTTTCAAAAGGAGGGGAAAAAACACAATCAAAAGAAATTATCTAATTAGCTTATATTCCTCAAAGTAGAAGGAACAATAATATTTTTAAATGCAGCTTCTAGAAATTAGTGATTATTTCATAGCTTTTCAGAACACTGCTTTATACTCCACTGAAGTTCTCCATTTTTCTCATCTAAAAATTGTAAAATAAATGACACTTTCAATGCCAGCTAAAGAACAACATTGACACCTTGTGGTGAACATCCTAAAGTATCAAATATAACAATGACTAAAGGGCTCTTAATTAAATATCTGCTTACCTAAAAACAAACCTTTAATTTGGAAGTTTTTAAGAATTAAGATGGAAAAGTTCAACTACTATCACACACTAAATGTAAATTTGAAAAGAGCTGCTAATAGTTTGGGAACACTGAAACTATCCTAAATTCTCAGCTCTGAACCACAAGACAAGAATTTAATCTCAGGTCATTGTTTTGCTGCAAAACAGTTCAATAGGTCTATCTGAAGAGGCCCATTTTAGTCCTTGCTTCCATCAAGATTTCCTCTTTTTTTTTCTTCTTTTCTGTAATTCTCACTACAGAGGGAACATATGAATCCTAGGGGCCTAGTGCTACAGTGAAAGTTGTTAACTAGACTACAATCTCAAAGCAAACAATTCAGAGGCCTAGGTTCTCATCTTGACTCTAACCAGCTCTGAGAATTTTAGAGCTAAGTAATAGTAAAGAATTCAGGCCATGTTTTCAAATATAATTGCAGACCAATTAGCTACAATTTTATAAGCCAAGAAAGATCAGGAAAGGAAAATGTATACATTTGTAACTGTCCCCATCCAGAGACAATGTGCCTGAGGGAGAGGAAACAGTGAATCACAGAGTACAGTGATGATAGGCACACAGGTTTCCCAGCAGGCACTTCGAAATCTGTTATGGCAAAAACTACAGGAAAAGCAAAGCTGTGAGTAAAGCAGATGAGGGGAACTTGTTCATCATGTTTGAGAGATGAGAAAGCTTGTTTCTCTAAAATTGACAGGTGCAATTTAAAGTGTCTAGTTCAAGGGCTATCTCTTTGGGTTCAAGTTCTTTGGTTGAAAAACAGGCACTTGAGCTGGTTCAGGAAAAAAAAAGTCTATCTGTATTTTTAGCTCTAAATGAGTTGTGCAATGGTGATGAACAAGCCAGTATTTAAAAGTAGTATGAACTACTGCTATTATGGAATAATCTGGAAGGTGATCTAGAAATTAGATTCCAAAACCTAACTACTGCAAGATCAATGCTCAATAACTCCGTTACTATAGGACTGGAAGTTCATCCACAATACCTGATGCTTTCACATTTCTGGAAGTCACTGTGCTCCACAGAAAACTCCCTCAGTTCCTATGTTATCTCTACCTTAACCACCAAGCAAGGAAAACAAGACAATGAAAAGGACTTCCTAAACATACTTACCAGAAACCTTTCAACCAATCTCCAATCTGGTTCTCATTTGCCTGTGCCTTCAGAAAATAAGTCTTTTACCACCTGGCAACATCAACTCAAGACAAAAACAAAGCTTAGGCACTGATAGTAACCGAAAGTTTCTAAGAGAACAAATAACTCTGAAAATGCTTGTGAATTTCCCAAAATTTTAACATCACTGTTTCTATTTCCTTGAAGAAATCAGAGCCATTAAGTGAATTCAGAGAGAAGACTACAGGCATCCAGTTGATCAGAGCATTCTCTAGGACAGACAGTATGGTGCCTTGCACTCACAAGACCCAACAGCTTTTGCTCATCTCCTTTTCTTCTGAATATGCCGGTTCTCCCTTCAAATCCTTTAAACCAGCTTTTTAGATTCTCCAATTTCCACTATCCTCCATCCTCTTCTTCTCTAAGACCTCTGGTTTTTTTTTCTTTTAATTCTACTGGTTTCTATAAAAGGATCACGCAATCTCATAATTAGAAAACATCTTTAAAACAAACATATCTTACCCTCATTTTACTGAGAGGGGGGGAAAAAGTCAACATAAATTAGTGGCTTATTCACATTTCAAACTATATCTAGTCATTGTTCTTTGAAATACTTAAAATTCAGCCCAAACTAAATAAGCTCAAAAATAAGCATACATATTAGCAACTTGTGCTTTGTATCTCTACCCTATAATGAGGAAATCCTATCTGCTTTGTTATATACTCTAAACAATCTAGGTGAAGACACATCTAAAATATGAATCTAAAATTATCAAATGCAGGTCATTAGGTTAGTCAAAATTTAACAATGTACGAAAGAGAGTCTTCGCAGAAGAAGAAGTAAAAATGGCCAATAGACACATGGAGAAATGCTTAATATCTCTGCAAATCAAATCAACATTGAGATTCAACCTCAACCCAATTAGAAGGTCCATTATCAAGAAAACAAATGATAACAGATGCTGGCAAGGATGTATACAAAAGGGGGCATCCTAATACACTGTTGGTGGGAACGTAAGCTTGTTCAACCACTGTGGAAAGCAGTGTGGTGGTGCCTCAAAAAATGAAACACAGAACTACCCTATGATGCAACAATTCCATTCTTGAGCATTTGCCTAAAAGATTACAAAATCAGTATACAATAAAGCCACCAACACCATCATGTTTATTTCATCACTAGTCACCATAGCCAAGGGATGGAATCAGTCCAGATGTCCCTCAATGAACAAATGGATTAAAAAAATGTGGTATAATACACAATGGAATTTACTCATCCATTAGAAAAAATGATATTGTACCACTTGTAAAGAAATGGAAAGACCTGGAAAAAATTACTTTAAGTGAAGTAAGTCCAGGCACAGAGAGACAAAGGCTGAAGGTTTCCTTTACATATGGAAGCTAGATAGATGTAGCTTATAAGGAAATATGTTGGGTAGTATGCATGTATATACAAACATATTAACCAAAATACAGTAGATTCAAGGGAAAACTAAAACATTATAACTCCTTGGAAAGGCAAAGTTAAGGTTCAGCAAAATACAGCATCAGGACGCGGGCACGCAAAAGGGGTGCAACAAGGAGAAAGGGGTGAACAAATGAAGAGGAGATGAGAAGGAAAATGCTGTCAAGAGCCCAATGTATATTCTATGAAACTAAGAGTTCAAGTCCCAGTACTGGAAGAAAAAAAAATTTTAAAGGAAAAGGAGGAAGAGGAGGAGGAAAGAAAAAAAACCACTGACTGACAACACCTCTCTCTCTCTGTTTAAGGAAAGGAAATATCTTTTCAAAGGTTTGGTGAAAGAGATAAATCACTACAGCTAGAAAAATTATGAAACTTTCACTAGAAAATGTTAAGCCTGCCAGGCGTTGGTGGCTCACGCCTATAATGCTAGCTAACTCAGGAGGCTGAGATCTGAGGATCACTGTTCAAAGCCAGCTCGGGCAGGAAAGCCTGTGAGATTCTTTTTTTTTTTTTTTTTTGGGGGGGGGGTCCGGTTGTGGGGCCTGAACTCTGGGCCTGGGCACTGTCCCTCAGCTCTTCAGCTCAAGGCTAGTGCTCTACCACTTGAGCCACAGCGCCACTTCCAGCTTTTTTCTTTTTGCTTATGTGGTGCTGAGGATTCAAACCCAGGGCCTCATGCATGCAAAGCAAGCACTCTACCACTGAGCCACTTTCCCAGCCCCGACTGTGAGATTCTTATCTCCAATTAACTACCAAAATACCAGAAGTGGCACTGTGGCTCAAGTGGTAGAGCACTAGCCTTGAGCTAAAGAGCTGAGGGACAGCACCCAGGTCCAGAGTTCAAGTCCCACAACCGACAAAAAAAAAAGAAAAGAAGAGAAGAGAAAAGAAAAGAAAAATTAAGACTGGGTAACAGCTCCCAGTGCTCCTAAATATTTTTTTGCAATGAAATGTCACAAACATAATAAACAAGAGTCTTTAAAATTCAAAAAGACTTAATATGATTTTTTCCAAGTCCTTCCATTTCCTTACAAATGGAAGTGTCACTCTTTCTGATGGAAGCATAGAATTCCAAGGACTTGGAAAAAAATCATATTAAATGAAACATAGGTCCCAATCTCCCTTATTTGTAATGATTAGTATACATCTAGGATAAAGCAGATGAGCAGAATAGCTGAATAACTATATACATATGATCATATAAGAAGATGCTAAATGAAATGAATTCCAAGACATGGACACAAAGGTTTTTCTTTGTTGTTGCTGTTCTCAATGTACTACATGATTTCTTTTTTCTTTTGTGTTTTCCCCCTATGGTCTATCCCCTGTTATCACTGCAGTCGATTTTGGTGCCCTGAGTGTTGTATATACGTTTATCTGAACTAGGGAAGGGAAGGGGAACAACAAAATAGTGAGGAAAGGACAAGTATGAAACCAAGAGAATATGTTGGAAATGAACTGTGTAACTTGGGGGTGGAGGGGGATTGGAGGGAGGGTGGGAAAGAGGGAGAAAAATTAGGGAGGGGATAATAAGTTAGACAAGATATGCAATTACTACCTTATTTATATAACTAAAACCCCTCTGTACATCACCTTGACAATAAAAAATTTTTTTTAATTCAGGAAGACTAAGAAATTTCTTACCGTAGCAAAGAAAAGACATCGTAAGAATTGCGAACACAGTTCTGATCCACCTGAAGAATATTCTTCTGAGCATTTGAATAACCCTGAAAGACATCGATCAAGAAAGTAATCATTGAAAACAAAATAATATTGTGCATACATTAGTCATGTTTTGCCTTTTAAAAGTATCACTTAAGCTAGGATCATGCTTGTAATCCTAACTATTCAGGAGACTGAGGTCTCAGGAGCAGTTCCAAGTCAGACTAGGCAAGAAAGTCTGTGAGACTTATCACCAGCCAATAAACTACGAAAAAGCCAGAAATGGAGCAGTGGCTCAAGTGCAAGCCTTGAGCACAAAAGCTCAGGTGAGCCCTGGCCCTGATTTCAAGCCAGAGGACTGAGGCATGCATATATAATTTTTTTTCACTTAGGCATGGTAGGCATGGTGGCTCAAGCCTGTAATCCTAGATACTTGGGAGGTGACAATCAAAGGATCATGGTTCCAGACTAGACTGAACATGAGTTTTTGAGACTTCATCTAAACCCATAGTTGAGCACAGTGGTGCACTCCTGTCATACTCAGCAATATGAGGAAGCACAAGCAGGAGGATGGCAACCCACACCAAAAAAAAAAAAAGCAGTTAGAGGCACAGCTTTAACTTATTCTCACGTTTTCACACAGAAACAATGCTTCACACTATAAATTGTAGTGAACTCTCCAGGAAAACGTAAGAAGTGTGTGTGTGTGTAAAACGTAAGAAGTGTGTGTGTGTGTGTGTTGGTCATGCATGGGGCTTGAACTCTGGACCTGGGCATTGTCCCTCAGCTCTTCATCTCAAGGCAAGCAGAATGTGTGTGTGTGTGTGTGTGTGTGTGTGTGTGTGTGTGTGTGTGTGTGTGTT